CCAACCTCGCACCAACTGTGTGCAGGGGAGATTAAATGACCAGCCCGTTTCCCCGCTATGAAAACAAATATGTGGCTCGTATATCGGCCCAACTTTTGGGGCTCGGCCTCCAGAGCAAAATGGCTGGCAGTGCCAGCCAGCACCCTAGCTCAGTTGGTAAGGCACGCAAGTGCCATTCAGGCGGTCTTGGGTTCAATCCCCATTGGCCTAATGTGCCTTCCTGGGCAAGCTTGGCGCCCGCCACCTAGAGATATGTCGTTGGTCCCCCCGAGTGGCATTGAGCAGAGACTGGTGATGCTCATAGGGAGAGGGGACCAGAGGGGAGGCACAGTGACTGGCCCATCGAAGAAGCTCAGTCCTGATGCTACCGGCTGACCCTTGGCCGGTATCGCCCACCTGCTGTAGCAGGTATCGCACCTGCTCGTGGGTGCAGCTCGTGCATGTTCCCTTGTTGAAGGCTTGAGCACGGATGGGGCTGCTAAGAGGTTCCCTGTACTACTATAATGACAATAAAAAGGGCCTGAAAGGCCGTCCTGTCCAGATTCGACAGGTAATTGAATTGGTTGGGCTTAAGGAATTCGCCTTTCAAAGTCAAAGAAAAGAAAAGAAAAGAAAGGAGGGATGCGCTGGTTGGTTTTCTGTTGGTGTACATTGTGTTTCCAGCCCCGGAGAAAAGTGCCTTGAAAGTACTGGTTGTTTAAGGACTGACAGAATTGAACCTGCAACCTCCCCATTGCAGCTCCAGAGCTCTAACCCACTGAGCTACCACTCTGGACCTGGTTTCCAGCAGGTGGACCTCCCCACCAATAGACTGCAGTCTACCCAAGGTCGGCATCTTCTGGAGACTCGGTCCAGCGTCCCACATTTACATACACGACGGTGCATTGGCCAAAATTACCCATAAGGGATGCCCTTATCACATTCAGGATGCATCTGTATCCCATTTAGACCACCAGTGCTTGGCCCAGCTATGGATGCCGAGCCTTGAAGCACCCCACGTGCCAAGTTGTCACGAATCGCCAATGCGACGCTTTGTTTTCCTTTTGGCTGGTGCCTCCAGCCATTGTGGTCCGGTAGCCCGAAGCCCTGAAAACATGGCGCACAGCCCATGGCTGGCCCAACTTCCGCCCAAGTACTGGTGGTTTAAGATGGGAATTCCTGTTATACCCAGTCCCAGCTCTGAACTGGTATCTATACCAACACTGTCCAGCTCAAGGTAATTCCCTACTTTTCCCATGCACGAAACTATTTTGTACCTGGTCCCACCAGGATGGGCTCTAGGAGCATGAAATTGTGCTCATGCCCAGAAACTGGGCAGGCAGAATTGGGTGTGCATATAATTTGCCTGGGAATATCCATAATTTGAGCATTCCCAAAGTTGTACCAACCTTGGCCCACCTTAGTCCCTCGCATGGACAGAATGTCCACAGGCCATTTCCTGGGTATAGCCGCAAATTCGGCACTGGGATCGGGTACAAAGGGGATAACCATCTTTGAACAGGGTACAGATGCAATTTTCTCGCAGGAGCAATTGGCAGAACATCCCGACCTTGTCTCATTCAAAATGGGTGCTAGTGCGACTTGGTTGAGGGGCAAATCTGCAACGTTGAGATGGCACAGGGTGCAGATTTTGCGAGTTTGATAATCCTGGTAATATGACTCTGGGCTTAGATGCAATGACAACACTGGATGGGCTCAGGATCAACTGGTTCTCAAAATTTAGGTAGCAATTACAAGCTGGCCAATTTAGCCACGCTTCGCATCTTATCTTATCGCAAGTCCCAGAGACAAAGTCGTACAGGAAGCCCTCACCGGGGCTCGGTCCCACCCGCGCATTTTTCGTTGTACGCGGGCGCCTAAGGCCCATGCATGGATTGACACAATGGATGGTCCCTAGACGCCCTCCCTCCAGTCGCTTCGTGGTAGGCTCCTACAACGGAAAAGGCGCAGGTGGGACCCAGGCCCGGGGTGGTGGACAGAGGTCCTGCCCACTACCTTTCCCCTCCTCTTCAGAAAAAAATATTCAACCACCAGTACCTTTCCCCCCTTCAGAAAAATATATGGCCCCTGTTAACACGGAAATTCTTTTATTTCTTTTTTTTTAATGTAAGGCTAATTCTGTAAGCCCAACCAATTCAAATACCTGTCGAATCCGGACAAGACGGCCTTTCAGGCCCTTTTTTTTTGTCATTATAGTATTATGGGGAAACCCGTAGCAGCCACATCCGTCCGTGCTCAAGCCTCCAACAAGGGAACATGCGGGAGCTGCACCCACCTGCGGGTGGGCGATACCGGCCAGGGGTCAGCCGGTAGCATCAGGACCTACAGTAGCTTTGCTTCTTCTATGGGCCAGTCGCTGTGCCTCCCCTCAGGTGGTGGTCCCCTCCCCCCTAAGAACATCAGCAGTCTCTGCTCACTGCCCAATGTCCCGCCGCGAAATGGCTACCTTAGCGGCGCAGAGCAGATAACATCCTTCAATCCGGTTCGTCGTTTTCTGGAGCGGAGGGCAGTTTCGCAAATTGGATGTTGGCTTCCATGGACAACTGTGGTCCTGCCAAGTTGCCAACGGGCCTACGGGTAGCTTTGTGGTGCACCCATGACCTGTTGAAATTGAACCCCTCTAACTACCCCCCTAAATACAGTGAAATAGTTACCTGGGCCCCGTCAGCTCGACGCTGATATATCTCAAGAAGCCCGTGGCCCTTTCGGTTCGTCCCGCCGTTATGACGTGCTCTGGAGACAAATCAAACCACAGATTTGCACTCGGCCCATGTGGCTGAATGGTGCACGCATGTAATTCTTTGTATTTGTAATCGGGCGGGCTCGATTTTTTTAAAAAAAAAATTCTATATTTTTCTCTCAACTTCTGTTTTTGCCTTTCACAACCTACTCCTAAGGCTATCTCCTTTTTTTATTTTTTATTTTTTTTTGGGGGGGAGAGGCGGGGGTTGCGGGGGGGCGAGAGGGAGGAGGTTCGAACCTTATACAACCAATGAATATAAGACCAAGGCACTTTCTTTTACGTATCTGACTGCAATTACGGCCCGAGCTGGGTGAATCTGACCGTAGTCACGTCCAGAGCGTAGCAGAAAAACTCCTAGTGTATGCCCTCAGATTCATCTAGTCCCAGCTTCTGTCTCTTGTATTTTCTTTTTTAAGTCTTTGATTGAATTTGAAATTCATTTCAGGGGCTGCTGATTGCACAAGGCGGCACACCAAAAAAGAAGTGTTATGGAGGCCGATGATTCTTCAGCGCATCTTTCCAGGGGCGAGGTCCCACTACCGGTAGCAACAAGGATTGGATTGAATGAACGCCTTAATCTAGACCTGTTCGCGAAGAGGTGCAGAAATTCGAGATTGAACTGCTTTTCTGCACGTCCAGATTCAGGAGCTCGATCCAATCCTCTTTGCTATTGGGACCTCGCCCCCAGGTGGAGAGCTCCACCCCTGTAGTTGAGGAAAGAGTAAACAGGGGGCTGGTTTTACATTGTTAGGCTACGTGGGATCTTGATGGACCGAAGGCGAGGTCCCATTAGTTAAGGATTCAGCGCATGAATGAGGACGTGTTTTAAGGCGAGATGCAGAAAGGCAGCTCAATAGCGAGTTCTTGCACCTCTCCTCAATCACGTCAAGATTCAGGCGCTAAATCCAATCCTCTGTGTTAGTGGGACCTCGCCGGCGCTGATAGATAGATTGGAAGACCAGGTAAGCAGAGCGAAATTGGAATAGTGGGGTCTTCCCAAGGTTCTTTGTAAGTCTATAGGCTATATAGCATACATCAAAGCAAATTGGTCTCTAGTTCTTTCAACATGATTGCTTGGAAATGAATTATTTAGTTTCCAGAAAAAAATAAATATCACCCCCCCCCCCCCCCCAAAAAAAAAAAAAAAAAAAAAAAAAAAAGCAAAAAAAAAAAAGAAGAAGAAAAACGACCAAACGGAAACTCACCAAAGCTGTCATGTTCTCAATACCAGGTCTCAATAGTGACCTTGTCTCGCCCCAAAAGTCATTTACATGTGACTGTGCGTCCCCCCCCCCCCCTCTCCTTACCTCTGAGTCCTCTGACCCCTTTAATTTGGGGGGTCCTCGGACAGCATATGAGTATGCCATGAATGTGGTCATTGGATATCTAAAGGCTGTTGCCATTCTCTTAAACAAGACAAAAGATGGATTTGGTTGTGTATGAGAATAGCCCGCGCTCGTTTTCGCGCGATTTTGAAAATTTTGAGCCATGATGAAGCAGCTGAATCACAGGATGGCACTGCACAGAATGCTCTTTACCTGCTGGCTGACAAGAGTCAATCTAGTGGTGGCAAGGAAAGAGAGAGATGCATAAGAAGACGGAAATGGATGACAGCACTTCAGTATAATTGCTGTTGTCCCTTCTTTGTAGAACTGGCGCTCGATACTCAAAGAAGAATGGGGAAACAATCATATTTTCAAAGTTTTCATTTATCTTTATTTTTTGGAAATGATTGTCTCTGAAGACAGCATGGCAGATCTAATTTCTAAAAGAAGGGGAGACTGGATAAGATCAATCAAAAAGAGACAGATTGTTGCACCGATGGGGATCATGGGGGGATACAAGAGGAAGGTACACCTGAAACGGGCTATCCCTATAATGATAGCCTTTCTGGCCCCCACCAGTCCGGCAACACATTGTTGTGAACAGGGCGATGCACCACGGTAATGACAAATAGAATTGCATGATATGCATCTTGCTTAAGGCGTCATTGTTACACCTCCCACCTTTCCCTCCCACCCATCCCCCCACTCCCTCCTCTCTCTCTCTCTCTCTCTCTCTCTCTCTCTCTCTCTCTCTCTCTCTCTCTCTCTCTCTCNCCCCCCCCCAAAAAAAAACACAAAACAACCAAGGAAATACGTCCAATTCTTCCTTGCGGAAGAAAAAACGAAGAGATAAATTCAGCTGAAAAAAAGTGGGTTTGAAAAGAAACCGAAAAGCTCGTCCTCATTAAGGCTACAGTAGTTGTCGTTCACGAAGCGATATAAATTCAGCTGAAAAAACTTCAAAAAAGTGGGTTGGCCTCGTCAATCGCGAGCTGGGGTGATTGGGGAGAGAGAGGAGAGAGGGGTGGTAGCTGCAAGGCATTCCTGGCCGACGTACGACGAGAAGGGGAAGGGGGTTGGTTGCCAGCAGGAAGAAAGAAGAAAAGGGCATCTTCGAGGTGAGAGCGGCGATGGCGGCGATGGCGACGATGACGGGGGCGACGATGGCGACGAATGCGACAACGAATCTAGTGACACGTGTCACTACGTCGGCGCTCGCGGACGACACGTCAGCGGGCCAATCCCTGTCATTCGCGCAGCAGAGGAGCGCTGACACGCGGACGCAAACTACTGCGCAGCGCGGAGATGTGGTCCGTGCCTCAGGCTCGGCAAAACGACATCGCTGCTCTCTTGTCATCGCCACATCACTGCTTGGTATGTCATTGTCCTCTTCGACAAGTCGGCCACGTGGCAGCAGATCATCCTCATCATCCTCATCATCCTCATCATCACTGTCATCTTACAATCAATCAGCCTCATCATCACCTTCTAATGGTTATGGCGATGGAGAAGGAGGTGGTGTGCGGATTGGCAAGTGGGTGCGAGTCTCGCGGCAGGAAAGCTGTTTGACGTCGACGAGAGCGAAGGCCAGCGATCACCATCGCCGTCATCATCGTCGCGCAGGACACGTGTCACCATGCCGAGCGATGGCAGACGACAGTGAGGCCAAGACCGACTCCACCGCCACTGCAACCTTAGGACTAGCTTCCGATTCCGAACCTGATCTGAAATCGGCACCAGGTTCGGCGTCAGCTGGTGACACCAATGCCGAACCTGTCGCCGAGCCGGAGTTGGGCCTATTCAGGCCGCGGGAAGACGTGGCAACAGATATAGCAGTTTTAACACTGGCACCCCTGTTGAGATTGGGCGGGGGAATTTTTGTCAATGGGTACAGCTACTCTGTGGTACCCGAGTCCGAGGCCCCCGAGAACTTGTACGGCCTGACGATAGGGGGTAGAAAAATATTGGAAAGCAGTAAACCGGGTCGTCTTCCGGAGAAGCCTATTGTGCTGTACGAATTCGAGGGGTGCCCATTTTGTCGCAAGGTCCGAGAAGCGGTCACGATCTTGGATCTCGATGTGTTGTTTTACCCCTGTCCATCTGGAGGGCCCACGTTTCGACCCATCGCAAAGGCCCTTGGGGGGAAGAGTCAGTTCCCCTACATGGTTGACCCCAATACCAACGTGTCGATGTACGAATCCGACGAAATAATCAAGTACTTGTTCACGACGTACGGCGACGGACAGGTCCCGACGATTCTCCGACTCGGCCTGCTTACCACGCTGACCTGTGGTCTGGCCGCTGCCGGGATACGTGGCATGAGGGGATCCCGATACACCCCTGCTAGGATGCCTGAGAAGCCGCTAGAACTGTGGGGGTACGAGTCGTCGATGTTTTCCAGGCTGGTCAGAGAGGTCCTTGGCGAACTCGAGCTGCCGCATATCTTCCACAGCATGGGCCGCGGCAGCCCCAAACGACAAGCATTTTATGAAAAATTCGGTCGGTTTCAGGTCCCGTACCTTGAGGATCCCAACACCGGAGTCAAGAGGTTTGAAAGTGCTTACATAGTAGATTACCTGAGGTCAACCTACGCCCTGCCATCCACGGCATCAGCAGGGGCAGCCAGCAAGTAGCGAGTGACGTGGATGTCAGCTCGGAGTGCCACGTGTCTGACTCACACGATGGCGTTGGCTACCTTTCGCATTTGCTGTGTGCGTGTTGGAAATAGCGGGAGGAAAAAATAATAAAAGAAAAACGGACGGCGAGAGGGGGTCGTTAAATTAAAACCCTCTGCCCCCTTTCCCTGCCGATAGATAGCACATCATCATGACATGCCGGCGGAAATCCTGCACCAGTCTGAGATTCCCGTAGTTTTTTTTTTTGGTTGTTTTCCACCCTTTTTTCCCCTTCTTTGGTCCTGTTGTATATGTCAGTTAGGTCGTGAGGAACGAAACCTCTCTTCCTTTTTCGTGCATTTGTTGTGTTTGGACAGCTCCTTTCTCTCTCTCTCTCTCTCTCTCTCTCTCTCTCTCTCTCTCTCTCTCTCTCTCTC